ATCTTCCTCACCTAAAACATCCACAATTTATACGGTGAGAAAAGAAAATATCTATATGCAAAGCACATACAAACACACCACAATGTAATCTCATCATAACTCATTACTTAATAAAATATTTACAAGCATTTATATATATATCATAATTTATCAATCATTCATCATCTTCACATCTCAATTCACAATTACATCAATCCATCACAATCCACATAAATCTTACAATTAACATTATGCCAAGGCCACGCCACAACTGACACAAGTGATACGAGTTAATTGACTCACTCATCCCACACCATGCCAGGGGTACGCTCGTCCTTATAGCATCACTTACTCAAGGTTCGTCTCATCCCTGGTCATTAGTGTGAGGAACCACAATCACAATACAATCCACACAATCTCTTACAATTAACCCTATGCCAGGGCTGCCATATGTGACATAAGTGATGCGTGTTAATTGCCTCACTCATCCCACACCATGCCAGGGGCACGCTCGTCCTTGAAGCATCACTACTCAAGGTTCGTCTTATCCCTGGTCATTAGTGTGAGGGACCATAATCACAATCTTAATCATAGCCACACAACATCTCATCTCATATCTCAATTCCATATTACATACACAATTACGTATCACATACACAACAGATAAGTCTAACAAAATAAGGGTTTACACACCCCTCAAGAAATTCACATCTAGATCATCAATTCTTATCAATTAATATAACAATAACATTCATAAATTAATAAAATAATCAATAGAATTATCAATTTAATATAATCTTAACATAAACGATAAAACCCCCAATTATTCCAAAACCTAACTCACAGGCACTTTTCTACAATTTCGTTCTCTCTCCTAGATCATCATTCTTACAAATTAAATATATATTTCTAATCCTCAACACATACAGAATCTAATGGGATCATCAATTCCTCAAATAGAAATAATCCAATTTTCCACAACCTAACTTACGGGCACTTTTCTATAATTTCGTTCTCTCTCCCAAATCATCATTCTTACAAATTAAATATATATTCATAATCCTAAATATATACATAATCACATAAGACCAATAATTCTCCAAGCAGAAATAATTATAAAATTACTCGTAATACTAAGGGACTCTTCCTCTACCCAATTCTCTCATGTAACTCTACATACAAATAATCCCATTTTCCCCCGTACCTAGATAAACAGCAGTTGAAACTAAAACAGAGATCTCTTAGTCTCCTCCTCTAAGTGCCCCTCGATCTTTAGAGAGTGTAGAAGGGAAAGAAGAGAATGTAGAAGAGAGAAGTCAGAACTGAAAAATATGATTTTGGGAGTGCTAGAGCACTCAATTTATAGGCATCAGGATTTGTGGAACGGCCCTTTTCAAATCCAGAACGGCGGTCCGACCGGCCGGGTCGGTCCGAGTTTTAAAACACTGGTAAAAACTGATAATTTTTTTAAAAATTACAAGACTAAAAATAATAGTTTTAAATTTAAAGAATTAAAAATAAATTTAAGAGACTAAAAATATATTTAATTTATATTTTTTTCCAAAACTACCCTTATATTATTTCTCTTTCATAATTAATACTCATATATCTTGTAATCAATTAGAGATTTAAAGTGTATGTTATACATTATTTCTCTCTCTTTTAATCAATATTCATCTTTTTCCTAACTAATTAGAATGCATGTTTTTTAAATAATTTATAATTAATATATTTCACCAAATTATGATAACACATTTAAATTAGGAGTATTTTAGTCTAAAAATAATTAATATATAAGACAATTCAATTTGTGTTTTATATAAAGGAACAAACAATAGTTTTGAATTAAGTCTTATAAATAAGATGAAAGTAGTATATAACAAAAAAAAAAAAGATAAGGAGATGTACATAATAAATAGAGAACTATGAAATTGTTTGGATAAATTTTTTCACAAATACTCACAAGAAAAGAAAATAAGAAAAAATGAAATAGGTTTCTTCAAAAATTAGAGTTAGCTTATGGATAAACTAATTTCTAGTTCTCTTATATTAATTTCTTTAAAATATATATGTATAAATTAATTTTAATTTTTAAAAAAATATTTCATCTTTTATTATATTTTCTTCACTAAGAAATGCTTATGAAAAAGTTTATCCAAACAATTTCCATGTTTCAATAAACTTCTCCAAAAGAACTTTTATGAGAGAAAAAAAAAAGGAAAATAAATAAATAAGCTTCTCTCTATAAGTTAAAACTAACTTATGTATAAATTAAAAATAACAAATTTTTAAAGGCAAATAATAAGAGAAAACTTCTAATATTAACTTATACAAAAATTAATTTTAACTTATAGATAAATTAATTTTATTTTTTCTTTTTAATTTTATCACCTAGAATTGTTTCGATAGAAATTTACTCATTCAGGCCGTCCATACTGCATCCATAAGCGCTTTCAGAACTATGGGAATTTCCTTGACTCAGAGAATGTTTGTGCAGAAAAGTTTAGGTAGTCCACTAACTGGAGCGTTAGTATTAACATGTTAAGAGGTAAGTGTTATATTAATATGTGTGTATATCATTTTATACAGCCAAATGATCATATAGCCAGTCTCTCATAATGACATACGCTTGTTCAGCATCCACATCTTCTTCAGGAGAACCAGGCCGGTGGGCAAATCCGTGAGCTCTACCTGGGAATATGACTACTTTGGATTCCATACCAATTTTTTTCTGAATATTCTCAATTTCGCTTACCGCGCAAAGTGGGTCACTGTCCCCTAAAATAAACAAGACAGGAGCTTTTATACTAGAAGCAGAAAAGGGATCCATCCTTGTACCATAAAAGGAGATTCCAGTGCCAAAACAAGAACCTCGGTCTTCGGCCAGCACCTTTAACACTTGGCCACCTCCAAAGCAGAAGCCAATAATGCCAAGCTTTTTGGAAATCCCTGCAGCCATAAATTCATCAACCAGCCATCTTGTCCATCTGCTAATGTCTTTAGCGATCCTCTCCGGGTTTTGTCTAGCAATCCACTCTTCAAACACATTTGGCTGCTCCTTTGTCCATGGATTTCCACGAAATAAGTCTGGAACTAGAATGCTGCAAATTTGTTTACATGTAAATTCGTCTTATAATGTGAAACAGCCATCGGGTCTATTTAAGTAAACTTTTCCAAAAGCTCTTTTAAGAAAGTAAAATAAGAAAGAAAAATAAAATAAATTTCTTCATAAGATACTAATTTGTAGAAGTTTTCTCCTATTAGCTTCTTCAAAATTTTATTCTTAACTCATTCATAAGTTAATTTTAATTTATGAAAAAACTTATTTTGATTTCCCTTCCTATTTTTCTCACATAAGTGTTTTTTAAAAAAGTTTATCCAAATAAACCTATTATACAATGGGCTTGTTTAAGTAAACTTCTTCTCCAAAAACATTTATCAAAGAGAAAAATAGAAAGAAAAAATGAAATAAGTTTTGTTTTATAAACTAAAATTGACTTAAGCATAAACATAAACTAATTTTAGCTTACAGAAAAACTTATTCTAATATTTCTTCCTATTTTTTTTTTTTCTTTTCGAAGTGTTTATAGAGAAATTTATCCCGATAGACCTAAAGTGTATTGTGTGAATCTCAGCACATTGTTGATAAGTAGGAGTTGAGGAACATACTTGTAACCGTTGCAAGCTATCCGATATGCAAAATCCCTGGTGAAAGAATCCTCAAACCCGAAAATATCTGAAAGAAGCAATAGGCCAGTTCCATTGTTATTTTTGACTGCCTTGAACAGATAAGCACGAATATTATCATCCTCCTCCTCGAGTGAGAGCTCCACGCCGCTGACTAATTCACATGCTTCATCATTTATTCCATCTTCCACATTCAGTAAACTACATGATATTTTTGAGTCCCCAGCATCTTGAACTGGTTTTTGAAGATTCAAATTGCTCTTTTTCTGAAAGCAGGCTGAAGAATTGCATTCAAAGAAGTAAATATACTCTATGATGTAGACAAAAGGTTATTAAGTATGTGATGTAATCTATAATTTTTTAGTTACTAATTACAAATAAAAAGGAAACCCAAGCACGAAATGAATTTGATCTCAGTGGCAGGATCTGGGGTCCAATGTAGGATCCAACCACTCCCTGTATGCGTGTCTTCACAAGGGCAAATATCAATAAAGCCATTGTGTTTTTGTATATAATAATGAATTGAAGGTAGAAAAAACAAAACAAAAGTGCCATATCTAATAGATTAATTCAAATATCCAAGTAACATTACATGTCATTTAGATATGAAAGCCATGTTAACAAGTGCGTGAATTAAGAAATAAAGAGAATTTTGTGAATTGGCTTGAGTGAGATAATCACCCGACAAAATTTTAATTTATGGCATCACACGAGGATTACTAGATAATAAATGACAAATATAATTCACAAGACAAAAATAAAAGTAACATTATTTCCTACGAGTCTATGACTCATTTCCTATGATGATACATTAAACTAATTTTGTTTCACTAATAATCTAGTTCAATTCTCAATATTATACTTAAATTTCCAGCACTCCTCCTCAAGCTCTGAATAGGCATTCTCCAGTCTTAGTTTGGATACTATTCTTTCAAGTATGGGCTGCTCAATCCCTTGGTGAACATGTCTGCAAGATGTCCTCGTGAAGGCACATATGGAGTACAAATCAGTTGCACTTGAGCTTTCCTTTGGTAAAATGTTTGTCTACCTCAACATGTTTCATTCCATCATAGTTAAGGGGGAGAGTGAGTTGACTCAAGGAAATCAAATTAAAAGCACACCCAGGGCACAAACAAGACAACTTCATTGATATAGATGTAGTGAGAGAAACATGATCAATGCCTTGAATAGAACCATTAGCAAGAAGAGTTAAACTGTCAAAAGAAAGGAGAAGAAAATAGTAACCGATTATCCTTTCTTACTCCTGACCAGACATAGATGGAGCGTCAATAGTTTTCTTAGCAAAAGAATGTTTCCTATGTGTGGCCAGACCTATTGCTCTTAAGAAAGTGAGTTGGACCTATTCAATTTTACAAAATTAGTTGGTAAAATGAAGATTACCTTTTACTTATATACAATATTATGATTTTATCTCTAATTGATGTGAAATCTCCAACTCCAAATCCCTCACATGAAAGATTGAACATCTCAAGCATTAAGTTTGGAAGATTGAACATCTACAAGTGGTCCAATAACATATCCAACAACAACCAATAATAGCTAGGATGTAGGTTTTGATATCATCTTTAAAAAGTAGGTTAAGAGTCTAACTCAATTTCACAAAATCAGTTTGTAAAATGAAGATTGCTAGCTACTTATTTATATGCATTATTCTGTCCTTATCACTGGTCAATGGAATTGCAATAAATGCATTGGAGATGCTTTCCTCCACGACCTCTTCTTCCACCACGTATTGCATGTCCACCATGAGACTCCAGGCAGTCACAGTGGCTGATGTGTTAGTTGCATTTAGACGAGTCCAAAACTTGAGATTTAAGAAGAGGAACTCTCAGAAGAAGCGTGACGAGATTCTCCATGGTAGGAATTTTCTGAGTAGTTACTGATTTCATAGAAAATTGTAGCAAAATGTTGTTGGTGTGGTTGTAATTGTAGACGTGATACAGTTATTTAGGCCTCCAAAACCTTAATATTGTAGCAGTTGTAAACCACTGTTTTGAACTATCATCGTATATTTTTAAATGGGAATTGATTTTGCAATAGAATCTGTTAAATGAGAAGATTCATAGCATATTTTGAACTAATTTTAAGAGAAAAAGTTATAATCAAAATGTGAGTCAGAGTGTCTTCTACTTTGTCATTCTGTTCAGTGTGTAAATGTGAATTCATCGAATAAAACCCGCTTTAGTTCTATCAAATTGCGAAATCAAACTGTAATTAATAATTAATAAATAAATGATGCTAAGTGGGGAAAACATTACGTATTGGGTGAAGGTGATTCGGTGAAGGGAACAAAGAACGTACACAAGAGAGGAGAAGCAGAAGTTGGGAGGAAATGGCACTGACGGCGGAGAGGCTTGGCGATGGCACAAACACAAACTGATCCTATGCTTGCCCTTGCAGTTGCTGTTGCTGTTGACAACCCCATTTTCTCTTACCGCTTCCAATTCACTCTATCCTTAAAAGGGGGCTTTCTTTGGCACAAATAAATGCTTGGTTTACAAGGTAGATACTAGATATTGGGTTCTATGTTTCTATCCTTTACATTATCGTTTTCCAAATCCAATAATGCTACATTATTATTATTTATACACGCGAAGAGGGAAATGTAATAGGTAAACAAAGTTACCAAAAAAAAGGGTCCAACTAGAGAGGGAATAAATGAAACTAAATTTTAAGTACTAGAAAGAAAGAATGAAACACGAGTGGAAGCGTATTTTTTTAAAAAAGAAAAAAAACATATTTTACCCTAAGTAAAATTAAGATTAATTAGTTTATACTTTTAATTTCTTTTTTTTACAATTTAATCTAATAAAAATAAAATATAACATGAAAGTAAATAAATATAACTCTTTTTCCAAAAAAATAAAATTAAAACATCAAATAATAAAACATTCTTAGGACTTAATGCTAAGTTAAGAAGAAAGTAAATAGACATGAATCATTATTTTTTCACTTCTTTCTTCTTAAAGTATGAATTAAGAGTTTTTTGAGTTGTTATCTTTCAATAATTCAATTATAAAAAATGACATCAAAAATACTTTAATAAGTTAAAATAAAATAATTTTTTTAGTTTGAAAATAACCATTGGAAAATAAAATAATATTTAAGAATAACAAATAGAATCTAATATTTAAGTTCAAAGAAAAAAGTATTGTGTGGACACATTTTTAATATTTAAGCTTATTAAAATTAAAATACACAATTTTTAATGCAATTAATTTAATTTTTAGTAAAAGTCTTTTGTGAATTATATTGTTAAAATGGTGAATCAAATGATTGCTAAAAAAAAAAATATTTGATTATAAGTTGATTAAGAGAGAGAAAAAATAATTTTTAGGAATGTAAACCTTGTCCCTTTAAATGTTGCAAATACGAAAAATACTTTTATTCCTTCAATATTTTTAGGAATATAATGAAATCAAATAATAGGAACATCAAACATATTAAATGTGATATTTAAAGCATTTGTGTGTGATAAACAATATATTTAGTCTGATAAGTGGACAAATTCGTCCTTTGATCTAAGAGTTTGCTTCATCATTTTTTGTCTTGCTTTCTTATGTGAAGATATGTTCATTGGTTCATTTACTATAAATATTTGTTGTGTTTCACCGAATGGTCACTTTTTATCTTATCAAAGATGTTGCTTATCAACTTTTGGACACAAAAGGTAAAGAACTATAGTGTGTATATGTCCAAAACAACTTTTAGCTGAATTTGCATACTTTGAAGGATTTTCTTAACTTTTCTTAGACAAAAAGAAAACCTCGTCCTTTAATTATCGTTCTAAGTCCCTAAGTAGTTTTTCTTCCTTCATTTGTTAAGGTATATGTTGAAAACAAATGGCAGAAACATTAGACATAATAAATAGTGTAATAAATTCATTCACCTATAACAGACGATATATTCAATTTGATATACAAACATACATAAAACATAATCCGATATGTTTTAATGCGACCGTCTTATAACATACATTTTTAATGCCTTACAAAAATGAGTATCTTTATTATCATTAAAATAAAAAATTTGAGGGGTATAATTTGTCATTTGATCTAATAGGTGGCTCCTAACAAAATCCTTTATTTTTTATAAATTTCCTAATATGGTAGAAATCCATTGGCTTTTAATAGAGAAGACACAACTATTCACATAACAATATGTGCAAGGAACACTACTTTTATGGAAAGGTTAGTAAACATTATGACATTAAAAGACTTGAAAATATTAAACTCTGATGAGATACTTCCAACTCATTTGATTAATTTAACTATCCAACATAGAATAGTGCAAGATTTGTCATCTTAGAATTTGCTTCACCAAATGGCTTCTAAAGATATTGAACTATTTTTTATGAATATTTTTTGGACAAAAGGAAAGACACTAGAAAGCGTTTTAATAGCGTTAATCCAAAACTAAACATTTATTTTTTGAAACAATGAAGTATTAACACACACTTAAAGAAGTGCAGACAAAACAAATCAAAACACACAAGGTATTTTTATACTGGTTCGTCCCAACCAATGAGATTATGTCTAATTATTGATCAATTTAATCAAGTTGCACTATCTTTCACAAAAATACAAGTATTCTTTAACAAATCAATTTTGATTCAACCTAAGTATTTTTTTATTTGCCTTTTCAAGCAAACTGACCAAGTATTCTTTGAATAACAAAGCCTCTTGAGGCTTCAATACCAAGTATCCTTTAACATAAAGCCTCTCTAGGCTTCAAGAAAAAAAACACATTTTAAGTTGGATAAAGATAATTGAAAAAAGTTATCTTACTCACAAGACATGATACAACTTTTAAGTATAAAGCATTATAGAGAGTTTACAAAGAATGAAATAAATTGATTGTCAAAGCTTTTCTCTATTCCATGTGATATTCAAACTCCTATATATAGGTGATCTATGAAGATGATTGCTGCAAATTCTCAAGTGTACTCATCGACTTACTTTATCTTCCTTCCTTGTAGAGTCAAGTGTCCATTGGTGCAATAAATGCGTGCATTAAATGCATTTTATCAAATGATCATTTTTTATCTGATCAAAGAAACTATTTATAACCTTTATGGTAAAAAAAAGGAAGGAATTGTTGCATGTGTTAGTCAAGAATAACTTTTTAGACGACTTCACGTACTTTGAGATATCTATTTTTCTTATTTTTGATGAAAAGCAAGTTCTTGTTCCTTTATAAATTCCAATTTCCAAAGAAATTTTTATTCCTTATTTGTGAAGGAATAACATGAAAGCAAATGCTAAAAAATCAAAAATATTAAATATGATATTTAAAGCATTCGTCTTAGACAAACAAAATGTTCCATTTGAGGGGTTATCATGTCTTTCATCATTCAGAATCGTCTTAAAGTTATTTTTTTAGACATCAAATTATTTATACATATATTATACAAAAATGTATGAGTTTGTTAACATTAAAACATAGCTTTTTAAGAAATCTGAGATCGTCCTTTGATATAACAATCTCTCATTTTTTATGGTGACAAATACATTTTTTTAAAAAGATATTTTTAAACGATAACATCTACTCATGCCCATTTTTAGACTATACACACACACACACACACACACACATATATATATATATATATATATATATATATCCATACAAGGCATGTAATCATGATCATATCAAAGTATAATATCAATCATATGTGATAAAGATCGTGCGATGTATAAACTATTAAAGAGTTTTAAAAAGACAATAGAGGTTCCCTAAGATAAAGCTTATGAACTCAAGAATAAGTAATATAATCTTGGCTTTCTCATGTTTTTCCTTACTCCTTTTTAGAGTCCATACTCCTCCTTTTGACACCAACAAAAAAGACTAGTCCAAGGATGATTCATCATCGTTTGAGCTAAGATCCTACTAGAACTTGTTGAGAAACTTGTGATAGTGATAATTAAAGCATTGTTGCTGACAAAGGGACTTGTTCAAAGGTATGACAAGGGTAGCGACAATGTTCTTCAACTCTAAGATAGTTTCAAGGGCTTGAGGAGTAGTATAGGAGGAATTAAGGCCTGCACTAGAACATTTTGGATAGGGGAGAAAGGAGCAAGAACAATATATGTATATATAAAGCAAATAGTAACATGTAAATGTAAAAAAAAAAATGAAAGTCAAAAGGGGATGGATAGACGAAGTTCTAGCGTGGTTGATACAGAGTGTTGCAATTGGATGGCCTTATGGCGAGTGGAATGAGGATTTGTAGAATGCTTGTTCCCTTGGTAAATATGGGGTAGTCTTTGTTAACTCTAGACATGCTAGACTGGTGTCCTATAGTGTAATAATGCAAATACCTCATGTCCTTAAGATACCATGAGAGTTGTTCTTTCCTTTTACAAATAGAATGTTGCATAACCTTTAGCTTGATCTAAGCTTGATAGAAGGTAGTCTAAGGCTGAATCTAATATGGTCTTGTTAATGTGTCAATCATGAAAAAAAGGTTGTAGGTAGATCCTTCATAGCTAAGCTTAAAGGTGGTCCTAGTTCTACATATGTCTTCATACTCAAACTGAATTTGTTGAATGAGCTCCATGGTTGATCATCAAGATGATGCTCTCCATGTAGATAAATAGGCAAAATCTTTGTCACCATATTTGTGTGGGGATACAATATCATCTCACACTCTTAACACTAATAGAGAAAGAAGTACTTTTGTAAGTTGAAGTAAGGTGAGCTTCTTAGAGGTTCACCTACTATGATATAGTTTGGTTTGTCCTCTTGATTTATCAATTCTTCCATTATTTGTTCAAAATTGTCATACACGTTGCTTATGTCTTATTAGACTTCGTTGGGTGGAATGCACTATACATAATCTCCAACAGATCTAGGATCAGGCTCCACTAGCGATGCGTCAACATTCAATGGCTCAAAATCAATTGCACTTTTTTAAACAATAAATAGTATAATTTGATTTGTAAATCCAGAGTTTGTTCATACGATTTCTTCAATAGGAAGTGAGACTGATTCAATACATGCAGATTTAACAAAGAAATGTCCCACAAAAGGAACCATAATTTTAGCATTTGCACTCATGGTGGTTTCTAGTATTGTAGGAACTTTTTTTTAAAGGAGGGGAGTAGAAGGCACGTTAGGCGATGCTTCAAACTATGTCTACATCTGTTATTTAGGAAGACAAAGGGAGAAATGTTAAGTCAGATGAAGACGGAAACAAGTCCCAGCAATGTTTTGAATGAGACAAATATAATACATATTGTTATTACTAACAAGTGTGTTAGTGTTTCAGATATAAGTACAGGTAAGCCGCTGAATAGAGAATATACATCCATACCAAAATTAAGGAGAAGTGAGGCAAGCATTGGATAAAGGCTGAGCAAACGAAGGGAACACATCAGAAGAAGACTAAGACGATACAAGACCATGGACGATGGGCAAAGTCTAGCAAGAGCACCCTAGACGGAGTCAAGTACTTACAACAGCCAACTAGACGGAGACCCGAATACACAGACCAAGATCAAGAAAGTTGTATTGCGTCTGAAGACACAACGAGAC